AAAGTGTTTCTGCAAGGCCACCAGCCACTTGATGACCCCTTGCTCCTTGATAGCGAGGAACTCGAGATAGTTGGTCAATTCACATACCTTTGCAGCTGTATTAGCAACAATGGGCGCATAGCAACTGAAGTCAGCTCACGGATTGCAAAGCCAGAACTGCTTTCTCAAATCATCACTTGATTGCTACCAACGGTATATGGATGATACATTTATTGTTTATGACCCATATACTGATTAGGTTCACGTACTGAGACAGTTTAAAAGCGCCCATCTATCGTTGAAATTTTTTTGTGAGACGGAGGAAGAAGATGAGCTACCTTTACTGAACATCCTGCTGCTGGTTCGTTATAACGAAGCGTGTACCGGAAGACAACCTAGGTAGGACTGTATGCGCATTCCCTCAGTTCTGTGCCGACGAGGTATAAGCGAAACCTGTTCTATGGTGCCGCAAACATCTGCAGCCCAGAGACATTTGAAGTCGAAAAGGAGTTCAATGTTAGAACGCTGGGAGATAATGGGTACCATGACACACTCATCAAGAAGCATTCCATGGTTCGCGCTTGGCCTTACATATGTGACCGGTTGAATAAGAAATTGTCCACCGCAGTGAACTAGACGAAACCAGCCGCTGGAGTTCATGTCCTTAGCGAGACTGCTCCGCTCATAACTCAACGTCGCAAGGAGAAAATTCCGGTTCAGTCCGAATCGTTTGTCCTATCTCAGCTCATCTGCATCTGTGGTGCACGGTACATCGGACAAAAAGCCAGACGCGTGTCGAGGCGGATAACAGAGCAATGCCCTACTTCACTACGACAATGGGCTATCAAGACGGTGTATAGCTCAATTTCGGAGCACCTTGTGAGCAGTGGACATCATGTTCAGACTGAGGAATGCCTCAAAACGTTTTGTATTGTATCGAAACGGGTCCCTAAGGGACACAGAAAACATTTGCTAGTGACTGCGGAAACTTGCAATCGGAAGGCTGAAGCCAGAGCTATGCAAACAGAAGGCGCTGGTAGGAAATTTTTACCTTGACATGCCCATGAACCAATCAGATGACTTTAAATCAATTAATCTATGGTGATGTTCAAATTTGGCTACTGACTAGGGCATCCCACAGACCGGACCCGGCTTAATGGTGCTAAGCAAGTTGTCCCAATGACAAATTGATTCATGATTGTATATGTCTGAAGAGACTTATCGAAAGGAAATTGCTTCGCTACTACCATTTGTCTAATGCATTAATGGGTAATTGGAGAGTCACCTAGCATAAGAACGCGCAACCAACCTGCGGTAACTAAGAAGCGGACATGACTGGCTGGCTTACTAAACTACCACGCCGTGGTAGGCTATTTAGTCAAAGGCTCGGGGTGGTGTCCCCTAAGACAACTCCCTACTTCGGTTTGGGCAACCGGGTAGTATCACGCCCACTGACACCACCACTGATTGTTCGTCTGCTATATCGCGCTCAGGCGCCTTAACTTCTGCTACCTGCGCATCTTATTCACACGCCACCAATCACTGTTATCCGTTACCAGCTGATTCCTGTTTCCGTCATTCCACTCCTGATAGTCTCGTCGACAGCAACAGAGTTCGCCCAGTAGCCCACCTTCAACCTCGGTCCTCGTTCCGCTTAGCATGCTTCTATCTACGCACACTCATGCAGATCGGGCAGCAAGCTGGTCTTGCGCGCACCCTGGAATCCCTCGCCATCGATGTTTGCTGTCTTTCCGGAACACCCTTACAAGACTCCAGTACTAGGTTTCAGTTGAGATCCCCCACTGGCCGCGGAGCCATGTTTCACCTACGTCTATCTGGTGACACCGAAGCAGCTGCGGCAGGCTTGGTTGGCGTTGATGTAGCGTTAAGCAGCCAATCCGAAGCCACACTGCTGGACTGGTTTCCGGTTAATAGCCGACTGTGTGCAGTTCTGCTTCAGGGATCATGCAAGGTAAACAGATGTCGTGCGGAGAGACACAACTTGTTTGTGTTCTCGGTTTACCCTCCCAACTGACTGCAATTCCGACTCGGTCGAGGACAATTTCTACCATGAACTTCACCAGTTCTTGGACAGAGCTTGCAAATCCGACATTGTTGTCCTTGCTGGGGATATCAACGCACGGCTCGGTCGTCTATTGTCATGCGAAAGTCACTTCGGTGATCACCATGCGCACGATGAGAGCCGCTCGGATAATGAGGAGATACTTCTGCGAAGACAATCGTTTGTTTCTCTCGAGCACCAGCTTTTGGCATTCGAGGAGACGTTCTGCTGCTTGACGACCTCCTTCTACGTCCCAATCTTTGTCTCGGCTTGATCACATCGCAATCAGTTTCAGATGGCGTGATAATGTAAAAGATTGCAAATCAGTCTGGTCCACATTTTTTGACTCAGACCATGCTCTTGTTTGTGTGACCATCTGCATGAGTTTCGGAGAGTCCCAAAAACGAAGCACTGTAAGTTGGGTACAAATGAACTATCTACTGTTTCGGTTCAGCAGAGCTATGAAGCTTCCCTGGCCGATGCACAGTTGTGATCCTCCGCAAGACATTGGTGAACACTGGACGTTCATACAGAGCACCACGATCTCTTCCAGGCAGTTAGTCTGTGGTCTTACTCAGCACCCTACGAAGGCCTGGATCTCCACGCGTTTCTTAAATTTATTTGATCGCCGTAGGAATATCACTACAGAGTCCAACCTTAATGAAGTGCACCGTTCTGTGTCGGCAGCTCAAATGAAGCCTACGCAGGGACTGTGAAGCCTGATGTTCCCTGCGAGCTTCGGCAATGGAGGCCGCTGCCCTGTCTATCAGTACTCGCAAGCTCTTTCAGCTCATTCGATCCACTGGCTACGAGAAGCTTAGTGTCAGTGAGACTATTTCCGAAGGGCATGGTTCGCCGATTGTCTAGCTACTGAGACGCTTGGATCGGTGAACCGAACATTTTCACTCCCTGTTCAATTAGCACTCACCGTCCAATTTTATGCCCCGTGAACCAAGCCACTCGCCCTGGGTCATCACACTTGGTCTGCCCAGAGGAGCGGAAGTGTCTTACGATTTGACATCTGAGACAATTTAAGGCCGATGGCTCAGACGGACTTCCTCCGGACCTGTTCAAGTATGGAGGCACAGTTATCATCAGCCGGTTGTTCGAAATCTGGCATGAAGAAAAGGTGCCTTCTTTCTGGGGCGAGTCAGTTATTGTCCCGACTTTTAAGATGGGTGCTCACACTTCGTATACCAATCACCGGAGGATTAGTTTCATTTCAGTCGTCTCCAAGCTTTTCGCATCCATTCTACTCCGTAGACTTTCGCTCTTTCGTGAATCGCAGTACCGTGAAGAACAAACTGGCTTCTGTCCTGACTGTGGATCAAATATTCGCGCTACGCCAAATCCGCGAACACCGCCATTTTTACCAAAGGCCTACCATCGTTGCATTCTTAGACATCCGAGCTGCATTCCATTCATTTGATCGACCTGCGCTGTGGCGTTGCTTGCTAAGGAACGGGGTCCCTGAAAAGCACATCGCCATTTCTACGCGCACTCTATTTCCACATATCCGGTCTATGGCAAGCTTTCGTTGTCCTTCGCTGTCAAGAGCGGTGTACGACAAAACTACCATTTGTCCCTTTTTCTCTTTAATTTTGCGATTGAAGACGTCCTGTCGAGAGCTTTGAAAGGTTGCCAAATTTTGGACTACAGCTACTGATATGCAAGTGACCGACTGACTTAGCTTATGCCGGTGACATCGCCTTACTTGGTGATGACTCACAGAGTATGAAAACTGTTTGGCGATTGAGGCATCTAAGTTCGGTCTCTGCTTCGCCCCATCGACATGTAAGATGCTGCTCCAGGATTGACACTCCCCCGTTCCAGTTCTCCCTCTTGAAGGTGCACAGCTTGAATAAGTGGATAGCTTTGTCTGCCTGGGCAGCTACGTGTCTGCTGGTAGCTCTATGGAGAAAGAAGTTTCTCACCGCATCGTCAAAGCTCGGTCAGCGTTCGTCAACCAGTGGCGTCTTCAGGATGTCTCCCTATTGGTTTAAGGTCGCGTGTATAATGTCACCGTTCGGGGGTGTTGCCATATGGAAGTGAGTCGTGGACAGTTCGCTTGGATGACATGCGCCGGCTCTCGGCTTTTGACAATGGGTGCTTGAGGAGGATTGCTCGTGTGTGGTGGCAGCAACGTATTTCCAATGGTGAAGTCCGACGTCGTGTCTTAGGGGATGCGAGTATGCCTCTCAACAAGCTGGTTTTGCTGCGTCAGCTAAGATGGCTCGGTCACGTTTTGCGTATGTCAGCTGAGCGTTTGCCTTATTGCACCCTTTTCGCTCGTGCAGGGCTTGGCTCGAAGAGACGACGTGGTGGTCAGCCGTCCACTTGGCGTCAGCATATGAAAGCGTTGACTTCACGTCTTGCTGCCGTTGGATCCACACGCCTGCCTGGTTGGGGACCGAAGGACGAAGAGTGCCGATGGCTAGAAACAATACATGATCTGGCGCGTAGTAGAAACCAGTGGAAGATTTGTGTACATACTTGTTTAGATGCACGTGTCTAATGCTTAACAATTGAAAAGGACAAAAATGGCGTGTGAAGAATAACAAAAACAGTTCCGTTCTTCTTACAGCACAACTGCTGACGTGTGATGCCCACCTTCAGCTAATGCGCCATGATGATGACGTGGTGAGTTAACCTGTATTCTTCCTAATGCTTTCTATGGTTTTGTTTGGCTCTATGTCTATTCGTTAGATTGTTGCCAATACATACATACATAAAGTGATAAGGCTGCCATGGACATTGGCATAGTCTTCTCAAGGCTGTTGGTTGTACAAAAAGAGTGGGAAATCTCCATAAGAAGAGGAAAGTTGGGAGATTCACATATTTGAGGCTATCTTAACCAGAGGTGACCAATGGAAAAGAATCCAGCTATTGCATCAGTGAAATAAAACATACTGATCACCGTGTGTAATGGATCACGAAACGGTGAAAATTCGGCACTCACTGAGATGTCACATCTGATGATTCGAGGACCAGTTCGACAGGGACGCAAGTCGCATTGAATAACACAACTTCGACTGGAATGACAGCCAAACTGACCAAATGAAGAAAAATGTGAAACCAAGTGTAATGGGAAATCAGGCATGCTGTAGTAAAGGGTCAGGCATACGGAAAACAAGTTGGTAACATGAGCCTGGAAATGAAAGGAATGGCACACTGAACGCGAACAAATATACAGTGCAGGAGCCTTGATATCTCCTATCCAACATATGGATCGTCACGGCTGGACGACATTCCGAATGATGCATACACAACGGGTGCACCAAATGATCGTTTCATGCTGGAGACGTAAGTTTAACAGCGCTGTCCATAATTCTCGTGCACATGTAACTGTTATGAGCACGCGCAATTGAAGGTCTGACCAACTGGCAATTTAAGGAATCAGACCAGTGTCGTCAGATGAAGAAGAGTAAAATACGACCAATCGGAGTGTGGGCTGATCCATCAAGCAAACAACTAATACTGCATACACAACCAAGTAAGCTTATCACAGATAATGCACTGGTTATTTTAACAGGTATGCTGAATGTGACAGAAGCAAGTATACCAGATAGAAAATAAGTGTATAATTGGGATTATGTTGGAGAGGACAGTGCAGAGGAAGTGACATTAGAGAAAGCATTCAGTGCAAAAGATAGTCTGAATCTGACTAGGAACGGAATTACTCTTGAAGTTATTCCGACACAACTGCAGACAATATATTAGTATATTAACGGCAAGATTAAATAGCGAATAAAGACATGAGTACCGTTGAGGTAGCCTGGGTACAGTTGCAAGAACGAGTAATCCTAGGCTTTTCGACGGGGCTCAATGATTCCTGCTAGATGAATCTACGCCACCGAACTAGCGGTATCGGGTGATGGGGATCTCTGACGTGCATGGCAAAAACATTCGGAAGAACGGAAAGAAACATTGTGGTGATAGTGATTTTCACGCTGTCATAACACGTCGAACTAGTTCGCATACTGTGCTAGACAACTTAGTAAGATCTATCTTGATGCACGTCGATGCTGCAAGCGGATTTGTGTAATAGGGATGACAAAGGCCTTCGTCATCAGCATTTGATGTTTCACTGAAAACGGCTAAGGTTATAAAAGCTGATCATGTCTTTTCTGGAGCAGTGGTATGCTTGCGTATCGATTCTGATGGAGAAAAGTACAACAAACTCATCTTACATATGCTTTTGAATGACTGTGACAAAAGGGAGACAACGCAAAACTCGTTAGCAATCCTCGGTGTATGCATGAGATAATTAAGGTGATGGAGCCTAAAGATATCCACCGATCGATTCAATTGTAAATGCTGCGGATAAGAGTAATTCACTCCAGGTAATGTACTCAAAGAAGAGGCAAGCGGATGCTCACCAAAAGATTTCCGGGCAATGTAGCGTGAACCTTTTAACACGGATTTATCAAAAGACATATTCTGCTAAATAATTAACAGATCTATGTATCCCCAAACGCAGTTCATATGGGGATATTGTCATCGTTTAGACAGTTGTCTGCCGACATCAAGGGGGACTGCCAATTAGGCAAGCTCAGGATACGTGATCGGAGAGCCGCCGAAGGCTCTCCAAATCAGAATAAGGAAAATATTCATCCTCCAAAGAAAAGCAATGTCATGAGGAAAAAGAATGCGAGTAGGGAGAAAATCAGCTGCCATACAGACAGATGTGGGGCGACATGTTATAAGTCCGGCGCGGTTAGTCAAACCGAGTGCCAGAACGTGTCCTCTGAAGATCATGGAGAGGCGGGGATGAAAGCGACGAGTATTGTTTGCGTTTGAATTCTGGCACTCGACGATCCACAGCTATCCAATACGAGTACTGCTTATTGTCGGCAAAGGCACTCGATGTGTGCAACCGTTCGAAGCTAACTCCAATTCCGGTCATTGATGCGAACGTTTTACCCAAGGAAGGCTTGATTTGCCAGTAAGAAGCATGCCTTAGTAGTTTTCCGGCCTTCTTCGAGCTAGGGAAACGGAGTCGTGCGATAAGTTTGTCCTTGATTAGGACAAAGAATCGATGCCCCTTAAGCCGGGAAACAATTGGTAGAGGCTCTGCGCGACAGCGGTGAAAAGTTTGCTTTATGGTCACAAAGTCACAAAAGTGCGCTGCAAACAAGGGAATAAACGGAATATTGAAGTGCACAGTGATGGACATAAAAATGCCAAATGTCGATGCATCATCACAGTCGTAAGTGCTTCAAAACTGACCAAGATGAACATGGGAAGTTGACATCATGTCTCACGATGTAGTAAATGGTGCGCATGCGTACAAACATACTCCAAGTATAAAAACGGTGTCCAGGCACCTTTAGCGAAGTGCGCCTAAACAACCAAAGAACCACCGCTAACCCCTCAACTGATTTGAGGAGAGGATCTCACAGATGAAAACTCACCATTTGGTCACCCACTGAATCGAGTCCAACATAGCAGTTTGTAATGGAGCAGTGCAAGGTGCCGGATTTGGTGCCAGCGGAGAGCACGTAGAAGCAGACGGCCTATTCGAAAGCAGCGGTCGAGTGCAGAAAGTATGAACGAGGCGACTAGCATGACGCAAATGTAGACGAACAAGTTGCGAACTTCGAGGGGTAACAACGGGTTCAGATGGGCACGGGGAAATGCGCGGTTGGTCTGGAGGGTGCTGTTTAGAGGAAAAAGTAGAGTAGAATGGACGGATTGAGCAAGAAAGCGGTTGGGAGCGGGCAAGAATATGGCATTAAACCTCAACGAAATGCAGGTGGACGTGGAATGAAGCAAAGATCTCACAAAAGTATGGAGACTTTCAGGTTTGAGAGACTCAAAGGATGTCTGGGAAAGTTAGGCTCCCGTAACTGTTTCCGAGTACACTAAACAGGGTCACTAATAACTCGATCACATTTTCTTGCTATACAATAGGAGCAGCAAGAACTCAAACTGATTAGTAGCTTATGCAGCGGATATCCTTAGGCCTGATCCTCGGGCGTGATGCCTTAAGTGTGAACTGAATCCCGGTGGAAGTCGGATTGGGTCTGTAGTCACGATAAAAATGAACAATCGGTAATCTTCAAGCTCTGTCTAGATGACCCAGGGCGATGCACAAAGTGAATTAGTTATTAAAGAATCAAAGGGAATCTAATAAATCTAGGATCAAAAAGAAGCGGTATGGGTCTTCACAAAAGTAGGTGCCCTCATTGCGCTCCTTTGCAGGACCGTAAAGCATGCATCATTACCGACGCTGGCGTAATATGTAACACAGCGTGAAAGTCATGGGATGTGCAAGTGAGATCATCACTTGGCTATGGCAAAGACGAAACCTATTACGAGTCCATGAAAAATGGATTTCCACCATTGCGAATGGAGCGACTAATTAGGTAACTCTGGTCAGCCAGTTGTACGGCTTGCGCAAAATCTGGGTAACTTAGAACAACTAGTGCGGATGTCAAAGCTAGTATGGAAATCAGCTGACACAAGTTCCTGAGGCACAACGCAAAAGCGCACATCCTTGTAAACGATAGTATTAGCTGGGATGAGCATAATCAGGAAAAATACCGTATTTTTGATAAATTGTACAGGAGACCAACTGAAAACTAGGTGATAAAGTCAGCATAGTCACGTAACCGAAGACTGAAGTTGATCTACAACTATGGTCAAATGCAGTACAACATGCTGCTACATCTCACTAGAGTTCAACTGGTGAAAACAAGATAGTGGAGGCGCATTAGAAACAGAGAATAACTATCTCAGGAAAATCAGTACAGTAAGATAATTTGGGTTGTTGACTGAGTAGTTCTCGAGCAGTAGATGGCATCATAATTGTATTGGCCGGTTGAATACGTTGACATTCGACGGTACATATTTACTTAGCCAATGATGACACTTGTTTACGTGAGTAACAGCAGATGTAACAACGCGGATTGGCTTCAAGATGTGACGGATGATCATGATTTAAAACTTGAGCGGGAAACCCTCCCGAGCGATTCACTATAACCATATCCGTGATCAAGTGTAACGCGAGGTGTGTGTGTGAGGAGTCACGATAGAAGCCGGAGAAACTTGCGCGAATTTTAACCACAGGTAAAGTTGACGGATACCGAACAAGCCGAAATATCGCAAGTTGTTACTTACGTATGCCGAGAGGCATTAGTCGCTAACAGAATGAAAATGCGGAACACATAGGTCATACAAGTAAAACAACCTGCAGCTTGGAGAAAGACGACCATGAAGAGGAGCTAGCAACCTCAGTGGAGACGGCCCCCAAGAAGATAGTTGCGTACGTGAAGCGGCGCCTGAGGCCCGCAAGTGACGTAGCTGTGTTAGAGGGCACTGAAGGACAGTTTCTGACTTCCAGAACAGAACGTGAGTTCACATTGGCGGAGCACTTTGTTTCCGTATTTACAAATGTGTATGCTCGTATATCGAGCTTCGCGTGTGCAGCCCCTACTGAACGCAAGGGCCTGGATTGCGGTGTAGAAGATGTCCGCACTCTACTCGCCAGTCTTCACGGCATGAAATCAATGAGCCAATGCACTCCACCTGCTAGTGTCAAAGTCCTTATCGGTCATCATCTCGCTTGCCGTGACGGATCTGTTCAACATATCGCTGTCCGAGGGTGCATTGCCGAGCAACTGGAAATGCTCAGTAGTGAAGCCGAATTGTTAAAAATGGGTCGTTTCCAGCTGATGGAGTCGAAAGATCTCCTAACGCCGGCACAGCACGGCTTCATGAAAGTCCTCTCGTGCATCACCAACCAGCTATTGACGCGGCAGGAATGGTTGCAAGCATTGAACCGCGGGAAGTCAGTGGATGTTATCTACATTGATTTCAGTAAAGCTTACGAGAAAGTGAACCATGTGGTCCTGCTCCACAAGCTGAGGATGTGTAATGTTGGTGGCGCACTGCACCAGTGGATCAATGACTTCTTTATTGGGAGAAGATTGCAGGTACAGGTGTGTGATCAGCAAATGGAATGGTACCCGCGTCCACTAGCGTCGTACCTCAAGGCACAGTGTTGGGGCCAATTTTATTCCTGATCCACATCAACGAAGTACCACAATTTCTTCGATCGCCCTGCGCATTATTTGCAGAAGATCTGAAGATTCGGAGGATTCCTGATTCCGCCGACGACTGTGAGGTCCTTCAGCAGAACCTCGACTGCCTATCCCGGTGGTTAGTAGAAGTTGACCTACCGGTCAACCCGGCCAATTCCTCGCTTATGAGCCTGGAGAGGGGTGGTAATAGGCGTGTATACACCCGGGCCGGCAACCAGCTGCATCCCACCAATTCCGCAAAGGATCTAGGCGTACTCTCATGCTGTGATCTGAAGTCTGTCGACAACACGAACAGACTGTACGCAAACGTACAACGCCTGCTTTGGACACTCAAACGCAACTCCTGCACTTGGTCTGAAGACGTTGCCACTCGCCTGTTCGCTTCCATGATAAGACCGGTATTTGTGTACGGCTCACCTGCCTATTGTCTGATCAAATAGGTGAGGTGCAGAGAATGGAGCGGGTCCAACATGTATCTATACGGCTCATCCCCATTTTAAGTGGTATGTCGTACGAGGACCGATGTAGAAGACTAGGGGGCTTTATACCCTGTCATACTGTCGACTCCGAGTTGATCTCATTATGACGCACCGGATACTGCATTCCCTATGCTGAAGCCGCAGCTGCACGTTTGCGCACCAAGCAGCACACGCGGACACCGGTACAAACTAGTGGTACCTGATGTAAAGTACATCGCTCACCCTATGTGCTTTGAGCGGCGAGTAGTGAAATATTAGAACAAATTGCCGGAGACGCTAGTCGAAGTAAAATCAGTATCGGAATTTAAGCAATTCCTTGATGCCCACTTTGCGAACCACAGGTATAGAGAGCGTATAGCATCAGGATAAGATGTAGTGTAGCTGCAATATACTGTCACCGCGCAGGAACCAGCGACGTGATTCCGCGCATATGCCCGATCCACCTACGATGGGGTAACACAGATATTTATCTTCTCGCTCCCTATTCTCAGTATTCAATATTCGAGGCACATAAGGACAATGACAATAACAACAGTACATTGGAGCTTTGCACCGATACTTAGCTATGATGCAAACAAAAAGGCCTCATTAACGACGAATAATAGTAAGTATGGGAAATATGTACCTTATGTGAAACCTTAAGTCACCTAGCAACATTTGCAAGCAAGGTGCGTATCCCCTTCTGACAACTTACAATCACAAACAGGTTGCTATCAAGTGAAGATAAGCTGGAGTTGTGGTCTTCTTTGCTCCGTGTGATAATCAGCCTTAAATAAAGGCATTTTGAAAAACAGTCTCGATGAAAAGCCATTGCAATGAATCCCTGCTGCTTAATGAGTGCTGTGGTTGTTAAAGACCAGAGCTACGCCGTGAACTTCAGCCTGTAAGACGAGACATATTATTAGCACCAAATATAATGATTTGCAGCCCCAATTCCCGTCAACAGGAGAATGATCACCTCTTTCAAGCTGCTTGCCATCTCAAATAAGGTAAATTAGGCCGCCCTCGGTAAGCGGGAAGAGGTGATATGTAGCAAGTGCCCAAGCCAAGAAAAGTTAATCAAATACGACACATACGTAGCAAAGAAATGGATTACAAGCGACTAAAGTCGTATGTTTGTAACAATAATCCGCAATGGTCGATAGCTAATGAAACATTGCAATACATGAGGAGGAACAGAAACAACTAAGTCACATTGTTCAAAGGTGACAAATGATAGATTCGTGATACCCGCCCTCGAGTAGATTGATGGATAATCTCGAATCGTGCAAGCAAACAATGCGGTAAGGTAATTTGGAGGCGTGGAAGAGCATACGGTGACCTGGGTGGATAGTTCAGATCCAGAGAACAAACAGCCCAAACATCAAAGAGCAGCTGGTACGAGATGACTACCAAAGGTGACATACATGCTCTTCGAACGGCACAACTGCAGGGATACCGAGTCGAGTGATGCTCACATGGCTCTGCCCATAGAATGCTCCTTCGCTGGGATCGACTGAAGCGACACGTGCCTGAAAGATAAAGGGGATACTGATGCAATGGTGCGACGCCATCAGACGGCGGGAGTAAGAGCGAGGAAAGAGAGCTGGTCCCAATAAATGCAGAGTGGTAGCGCTGTCCCTATCACCACAAGCATCCCCGCCGAAACATGGAAGTTCTGTGTCGAGATGAGAGACAAAGGAGTAAGGCTTAAGTAAGTTGCAGCTTGTACTAGTACGCTAATATGGAGGATTTGAAATGGTTGGATGAGTGATACCTGGAAATTAAGTGTACACAATGTCGTCGAGAATAGGTAACCACAGCGAGGTTACATCCGTTACAGAAGAGAAAAGCATTATCATCATCATGGACAGCAATGCATCAGCCATTTGAACTGATGCTTCGATTCCGTACAAACATGGTGACCCACGGAACGAAGAACAACAAGATGGAGAGGAGGGGATCTAGCGCAAAACATACTTGCCATAAACAAATATTCAGGGTCAAAGCGCCTGAACCCTGCGTCAACATGCGTCACAAATAGCTGGCTATGGTGCAAAGCCGGAGAAAATGCCTTAGTAGAATGAGGTCAAACCGATTTTGTCAATCTTTAGCCTGCATATGGAGCCGGAAATCTACATAAGTTGTGAAATGTCGCTGCTTTTCCACAACGCTAAGGTATTCCGCGACCAGATGAACTCCAGATTTCAAGCACTACACCGAAGAATAGCACAACTAAAGTATTCAGCACTAGGCACCCAGTTCAATTGGTTCAGGCTGATAGTTACTTGAGAGGCCAGAATTTTTGAAATCATGCTGCCATACACAGCCAGTTTCATTGCTGAGTCGGTAGGGATAAAAGTCCAGTTAACTAGTCTGAGGACTTTTGAAACAAAGTAAGCAACGCTACTATAGCGAGACACTGCGCGCAGAATCGTTAGCCATGATGAACCATACAAGTGGAGTGGGAGCGAAGTGAATGTGCACAGTATTGAATCTACCGGAGCTGATGGGCCCCAGCGGCATCATGTTGATTTATGAAACAGTGACTGAAGGTCGGATCCCCAATAACCTTCTCATACTCAGAATCCTAGGCGCATCGAGCTGTTGCAAGGCAACAAAGAGAAACATTTATACTCGCAGGATGTTTTCTCTTTCATTTAGAAAGATATTTGTTAAGTATGAACGCCGACTAAACGAAAAAGACTGTTGGATGAAATTTTCGGGACTGGAACGCCAAATGATTCTCCACAATTGCCATGCATGATAATAGTAAGTGAACAGAATCTGCCTATTTCCTGCGGATTGAGATGGGATTCACTTATGGTTAAGAAGGGACAAATAAGTAGCACAGTCAAGCGCCAGGAAAACAACTCAACTGCGCGTCAAAGCAAATAGTTAAGGGGAGATTGGCGAAAAGGACTGACTTACCTTCCATAAAAGCACAAGAGTAATGCCCAAAGATTCTTTGTTGGGTCTCTGAAATCGGACGTTGATTGTATAGGTCATAACTATGCCGCTCAAGTCAAGGCGTCATACAAAGTAACCTGATGAATGCTGTAGCTTACCAGGACACATAAATGATAGGACGAGATGAATACTGTATGGTTTGTTTGAAATTGCTGCTAACACATGCAGCGAGTACATCTCCCACTGCTAGTGAAAGAAAGGGTGATCGAGTCACCTCAATTTCGCATCTAGGACGACACAATCGGAAACTCTGGGCTTAGTGAGGTTGAGCTGAATTCGGAGTGCCGCTACCGTGATGTATGGGATGCAGAGAGCTTCTAAGGTAGAAGACAAACATGAGTCCTCATTCCAGTAGTAATGATGTCCTCCATGTGGCCAAGCAAATTACGTAAAGGAACAAGGCAAAATATGTCAACAGCAGTACACCGGTACGCAGTACCGACTATTCGCTGCCACGCAACCACCACCAGCCGCATTTGGGCTGCAGCGATCGCTTGGTCTTAACGTAGCCCCTACCCCGGGACCCCAGGACTGCAAAGTAGGCATGTGCTCCGTTCGGCCACGTAGAAGAATCCGAGGCGAAATTGGAAGTTCGTCGTATTTCCTCTCTTTCGTTAACCACTGTACTCTGTAAGCGCTATTGGCAGGGATCATGCGCATAAACGCTCCTACAGTGGCGTATATACAAGAGCCTTGTATCTTCCTCACTAATCTGCCATGTCGTCTACACATTGTACCTTGCTCACTTTCACTGCAGTTTGAAGCTGCATCAGTTGGTAATAGTCTTACCTTTTCCTTAGTTCATAGCTTCATTTCATTTAGTGGACATATTGCGGATGCAACCCTAAGGCTGTAGCCAAACACAGATCTCGAATTTCTCCGCAAGTTACTCACTTTCTCGTACTCTCAGACACTACCCAAAGGTGAGTATGCATAAGCCACTCACCAAATCTTAATGGGTCCTCGAAAGCCCACAGCTGAACATGATTGATACCAAACGCAAACATTTCCAGCGAACTTTCGAAGAGATAATGATGAGTATGGGATTTTTATGTGATTAATTAAGGATCTCTCGCAGCAGCTTCCAAGTTGGATAGCCCTTTCATGCAGCCGGGAAAGCACTAGACGGCGATCAGTAGTGCGCATCCCTCGGCTATATCAGGATCCGAACTCAAGAACACTAGCAGCCTGCGCCACTATGTAGCCTCTCGTGGTGGACCGTTACAACTTGCAACCTAACCGTGATAAAGCGCAACCCATCCTCCATTGCCATGAAAGTTAGGAACATAGGATGAAACTTTCGTGTGCAAAGTGAAACACTGTCCATCAAATATACTAAATGAGTGCTTTCAAGCCCCTCGGAGACCAATTAGTTAGTTACAGGTCAAATATCCAATTCAGGATTTCTTGAAAGTTATTAGGATGAAGAGTACCAAAGTAGCAAAGGATGATAGATGCCGTAGACCAGGGCGAGAGAGAACAGAGAATTCAACGAAAATCTCTGAGAGTCAAAGGTTAAATCTATAAGTCGACAGAGTAAACCTCGTGTTTGGCGATGAGGCAGTGTGGGTAAAATGCATTGACATTGAGACGTGTTGAGAAAAGATGTTTCATATGAAACGGGGGTAAAATATCAGCAATAGTCATTCGTTTCTCCGACTCGACTTTGGCGCCGTCGTCTGATTTCCAGAACACTTACTGTAACTGATTGGAGTATAGGAAGGCTGATCGAAACAAGACAGGAACAAGCAGGAGTTATTGAATTGTGCTGCTTAATGGAAATCAACGCACACACGTAGGAATGGATGTAGTCTTGGGGGGCAAGAACGGCCATACGATACATAACGGGAGTGAGATCTCATGTAGCACTCAAGCGCAAGTGCTAGTTGTACGTTCAGTTCGCACACAACACAAGGTGGTAACATGTGAATAAAGAGATGTGGAAACTCATATTACTGACCGAGAACTAATGGCACAGACAGTGGCTTTCGAGGCAAGTGAATAGGACTGGATATTTGCATTGACGATACAGTTAGAACTCGTAGTCGGCAATACGATAAAGGAAAGCATTAGCTATGGTGCATGAAGTCCAAGAATTCTGGCAACTTGAATCGATCCAGATATAGCTGACCTTAAGCGCATTCCGTAAAACGCAAGAAAGCTTACCTTTCGGATGGAGTGGTTCCAATTAACCCCAGAAAGCTGATAAAAATCTATACACGGTGAGGCAGTCACTTCAACTAGCTCCCCTGAGGAATATGGGACAGTAGTGAACAAGGTGCGCGTAACGGAGCGAGTAATGGGGGTGGACGTGGTGGAATCTTGGTCATCCGGATAAGATAACGAGGGTACTGCTTGAAGGTATAAGACAATGGTCCCACCCGGATCCACACGAGGACGGTCCACCATGTGTACTAGGAGGTAAGGGAACAAGTATATGGTATGTTAACATTGATACAACGAAGTAGTAAACAAAGAGGAAAATGCAGGGATGAAGTCATAGAGATCCGCCGGCGGCACGCCCACTTAAATAGGGTACTCTAACCTATACATCCTTAACATGCATGTCCTCGTTGAGTTGCAATAGTAACCTGATTTAACGCGCCATCAGTAAGCGTACCTACATTTGATGTCATAGTTCAGTTATGATTCAAGAAGTGGGACAACAGATGATGAGGCAGACAATAAGTTATGTTACATAATCAGCGATCGTAAGGTTCAAACACTACCTACTTGATCTGCTTACCGGTAGATAGTGAATGTTAAACGTGTAGTAATTCTTTGTCAAGAAGGCAGATGCGGATGCAAACTGACGATGTAAATGTCACACATCACAAAAATAGCAAACTTCTTTCCGGGTTAATTAATGAAGCAGTTTTGGCATGGATTTTAGGAGTTTTACCATTTATGAAAACATATACACTTTGGTCCTCACCGACCTGTAATTAGTGCCACATTCGGCTCCACGCAGTACGCGTGTCATGCGCACTTCATGCATGTCACACTGGCGTAGAACGACATGCTCGAGCAGTTGAACTTGACCACTCCGTGGGTGCGTCCAAGTTGCTATAGCATTCGCACACAGTGCGAACTGTGTTCGTAATCGTCGGGCCGTGAGTGGTGCACAGTTAGAGCAGCCGACCACCGTTCCCATTAGCTGTAGCAATACCATACGGACCGATGACGTTTGTCCACACCGCAGCACCACGCCCAACGCGCGCTTTGAAATCATCAAGTAGGAATAGTCGATTGCTCTTCAGCACAGACTGTATCACGGAGGACATCTGCGCGTAAAGCTGATCCCTGGTGTCATCAGGACTACATTTGGTGGCGCCATTCGTGTAAATAAACGTGGCAAGCTTATCTATTTCACATTAGTTGTGCGCTGATGCCAGCTGGCCCTATCAGTAGCTCGCAATTTAGGCAGTCGGATAGTGCAAATCCGACCCCATTTTCACGTGGTGCTGTGGTGGCGGTTCCCATCCAGTAAAACGGAGGCATACGATTAGCTGACGGGGAATCGTATGGGTGGTGACCTGGATTGGAGGACGTAGGGGGTTAGATGAAACGGAGAAGAAAGGAGGCGCCAGCGGTAGTATATTTTTATTTTTCCACCCAGCCGTACGCAACAGATAAGGCGACAATTTTCCTAAGGCTACTGCGCGACGGCCGATGTAGCATGGAAATAAATATTATTGGCGTGAATCTTAATTGGAGCGTTAGACCCGGATACTGCTAGAGCGCCCACACCTGACAGGACAACGACCCGGGTCCTCAACCAAAGCTTTCTATAAAAGGTACATCTGAAAAGTAGCCGGTCATGCGCCATGAGTCAGTGAACTGACATCTTTTCTTCACGTTTGTAATTACGATGATTGGACAGACCACGACCATTGATGACATTCAGAATCTGAAGTAACCGCTATACTCCTAATTTTAAATCTTCCTCTTAGTCTTCATTATATGACCATTCATTATTTACTGATGATGACGTGGAAATTTCAGACATCCGGACAATTTGTTTCAATGCACCTCATGTTACGTAATTGAAGGAGTGCCGAATGCTCGAACCCGTAATTAACGAATTCGTTCACCTGTTCGTAAATTATACGTTTCTACCTTGCTACATTATCATTTGTACTAAGCCAAGGTTGCTTCAGTGCAATTTGTTCTGCCCACCGCCATTAGTTCTCACAGCCCGGACAGTGTGTTTAGATAGGTATCGTCAGCTCGCCGTTAAACAACGATTTCTGTCGTAACAAAAGTTGAATAGTTCTGACTCGCTCTCTGATGGATGAATCAGGCATGCGTTCGTTGTCACCGCGTTCACAGGATGCAGACGACAGTACAGGTATGTCCGCTGCTGACCAACTGTCTGCGGCACTGCGTAGAATTACCGAATTAGAAGGGCGATTGGGGGCTTTTACTTCTAAGGATGCGGTAAAGGTACCTTCAGAAACAGTTAAGCTAGATGCTCACTCAAAATTTGTTGTACGGGAGACAATGGAAGTTTCGACACCTGGTGGTTTTGGTGAAGATTATAGAGGAATAGGCGGTGCACAACGTCGAGCGTGCTTGCCCCGGATGCACTTGAATCTCTCGTTGGCCTGACGAAGGGGAAGACTGTTACCTTTAAAGGTGACTCGATGCAGTAATGGCTATGTATGCTCAGTTTTCAAGCAAATATCATGGGTGGTACTCATAATCATGGGTTAAGACTCTCCCTCCTACCTGATTGATTATTGTGAAGGCCAGGCTCGGGAGGCGATCGAGAGTTGGGTCATGTTGAGACCAGAAGGTTTACGTGATGCCACGGAGACGCTAAAATCTAGATTCGGCCGTCCTCATCTTATGGCCAGGGCCTTACATCAGCAACTTAGTCAAGGGACCATCAATCAAGGCGAAAAATTCTGAAGCACTGCACAGATTGGCTGGGCAGATGAAAACTTGCTTGCCTACGCTACAACAGTTGAACTACGAGTTCGATCTGAATGAGACTGTTACGGTGTCTTCGGTGATCAGGCGGCTAGTTCCTTAGAACAACAAACAGCACACAAGAAGTTGCGTTGGCTTGGGCACATAGTACGTAAGCCCGGTCACCGCTGACCCAGGAGGGACTTGTCTTCCAGATGAAGGGTGGCGCAAGGCTCGAGGGGGACAAACGTTGATTTGACAAAATGGATGCTAACGGTCCGTCTCGTCTTCCAATCTGGAGTCCACGTGACCAACCTTGTGTTTGGTTCGAGAGGTTACAGGAGATGGCTCGCAGTCGGCACTAGTGACGCGTCTGTGTCGTTTCCTAGTTGGATTGCCTGTGTAACTTGTGTTTGGCGCTGAGTTATCTGCGGGGTAATGGCTGCTTATGACGCGGAGCAGTGAAAGTCGCAAGGAAGCTGTATCGCCGATGCTGTCGATAAGACAGCTTTTTTGTGATGGCATGTTGTTGACAACGTGTAGGCGCTTTAACCTTGAGTATTTGCTTGGGGCATTAAGATTTTCCGGTAAGTCCACTTTCTCCTATTAATCTACATTCCGTAGGTCGTTGTGGTTGTATGGCAGCAAAGCATCAGTTCAAATGGCTGATGTACTGATGGTTCTGGTAGGGTTAAGGCCGGGAGAAAAATATGAGAAAGAGCAAGGTGTGTTGTTCAGGTACACAAGAAAGATACCTACCGGGCAAACTTGATGGTGGAGGGGATATGGCCCAGTTCCGACTGCCACATGAGACTTGGAGGATTTCGAATGAGGTTTTCGTCTGGACAGATGTAATGCGGATGCAAATAAAAGGAGAGTCAAAGCAGAAACGTGCAGGCGACGAGCATCGAATAATCAACATTCTATAAGTATCGGGTGAAGCGCTGCAAAGCGGAGCAATTCAGCAAGGTGAGTGACCAATACTTGCCTATATTGTAGTTAGACCGATAGTAAGCAGTTGTAACGTGAACAGTAACTGGAGAAACCAACATGAAAAGATTCGAAGGATGATGGCAACGGTGCATAAAGTTTTAGTGTATAATATGTGTGATGAGTCATGGTGGTGGACGCGCAAGGTGGTAAGAAAACTTTCAAAGTACTGAACTCATCAGACACATGATAGCATCATGTGAGGGTGAAGTATCTGATTATGTTAAGAGGTCTGAAAGGTCAAGATAGGCCTGACTGTCTGATACGACCCGCCATGGCAAATAACAAAAACCAACGTTTTCCGGGTTTATGAGACTAATATTAGTCGCAGTGCGAGGATTTTGCTCACTAATGTCAATGAAGGCATTTATGAATGATTCGAGGAGTGATGAGAAGGAATGGTGTAAAAACCCAAAACGCTAATGGTGCCACTGATCACATGCGAGTTTGCTATTGGACAGCCGCATGACTGTTTCCAGAGGAAACACTGAGGTGGCTGATTGAGCTAATCACTCCGAGGAGTTAACAAACACAAAGACCTGACCTATCTGACGCAATATGTAGATTCGCAACGTGTACAAAACTCCGGTAAATCTGTCAACCAGATGGAATCTCCAATTGGATAAAAATCAGGCACATAAGCGACGTCCTTCAAAGGAGCGGTAGATAACGTTCCAAATAGGTGTTAAAAGACAGTGTCACCAATTCTGGACTCCCCGTTGCACGAATTTTCATTCGTGGTGAACGGAAGCGAATGGTTTTAGGGGTAAGCAAAAAGAACTCGCTACTAGCTAAGTGCCGAACAATAAAAAGCAGAACGCCCAAAGCTGTTTGTCAAACTGGGCTCTGAGTATTAGTGAGTAGTAGGGGAATTTATTGGGTTGTTGTGAAGATTCGTCGCACTCAGACGCAGACAGAGCCGTCACACATCCAGGAAAGCGTTAGACGACTGGTTCATCCTACTGGTACTCCATCCATCCATCGATACAAGGTACGTTTGTTTATTACTACAGACAGAAGCAGAATTAAAGGACAGGTGGTGATCAAATAGGACTAAACGAACGAGGTGTACCATGTTTACACTGTATACGAGAAAACCATGAAACAACTTTGCGTGTATTCCTAAGTTTGTAGAACGCAACATGAACCCCGCATTAGTAGGACTACTGCTGTTGCTTAGCAGCAGGATTTTAGTGCGCTGATTGGACAAGCTCGACTTGGTGAGTTTGGCACAAGTTGCTTAAATGTATGCTGTATATCGCTTGCCATTCCTGTTTAATTACTATCTAGGTTGACTAGGAAGATCGACCGCAGTGGTGAAATAAACCGTTGATCAGATGCTAACAAAAGACGGTGGTGAAGATCAGAGAGATGGCAGAAAGAAAACTGCCGAAACGCGATTGGTTCATAGATTAGGAACGGAAAAATTGACCCGTGATGAGAAGTGGTGATGGATTTGCCATTTAGGAGAAGTGAGCAAAATACCAAAAGACAAGTGGGTACCTTTACGGTTCCGTAAATGCGACTTACCGATTTTGGTGTCTGATTGTGGATCCGAAGCAAGATGAGTAAAGTGTGCACCCCAGTACAGTGGCTCGGCACCGCCAAGGCCTCAAGTCGTAGGGAAGGTCGCAGTTCAAGCTCGTGATGATGTCGCACAAACCGATAGCTGGGTGAAATTTCACGAAGAGAGAGAAGACAATCGAGGGGGTTAGATGTGGAAAGAAAACGCGAATTCACAAGAGTGAATGCGAAATAACACATACGAGCAGTTGGCGTAGATTGATGGACCAGATGAGATTTAATGACAATAGTGTTAGTGTTGCGGGCCCGTCAAATATTCCCGCAAAAATGCGCCAGAAACCCCGGCAGAATGGCTGTGGGAAGCGGGGTCCAATTCCTCCTCACAACGTAGCAGTGATCAGCCACTCCGAGACGCGGCCCAACTACGCACCTTTTGACAATGGCCTTTTACAAACTACCACCTCGTCATGGTAGAAATTTTCCCTAACTTAATGACCCATAGCATTGGCTGTGATTCGCCCTCTGTTGGTCGCAAAAGAGCCTTCAGAGGACCGCCTGTCTTTCTTTCCTCTTTGCCTTACTTGGGAGTCGGTCAAGTCACGTGATTTTGTGTGCGTCGTTAGCCGGGCAGCTTTCGCGTCTAAGTCACTAGTGCGCGTCTACCGTACCCCCTCTCGTGTGCGTCCGTTCCGAGGGCCCAGCGTCTATCCGAACATGTGCGGCTAGGATCGTTCTCACGCCCGCTCAATTTCCGTCTCACGAGCGCGTACCCCGGGCTAAGCTAACGCCGTCAGGTCAACGCAAATCCGTTTGACTGGCCAGCGTTCCAATCCGTTACCGTAGGCGCACTCCAATCGTGCCAGTGACAATCTTATCAGGCATCTACGCAATCATAACAGAGGCGTTTCCTCAATTATAACAGTCAGTGAGAAGGCTCAGTGAGTGAAGCGAGGTGAAGTAGGGGAAGATAGAACGAGAGCACAGGCAGTATTTTCAAGCAGTGCAGCAGTAGACCACCGATGCCCATAGTGAAGCTCCGTTGCCACGCAACCCTTAGCGGTTGCACCCCAGTGGTCGACAGTACTGTGCACCGTGGATCAATGGTGAAACGACAGCAGCGAACCACTCAGCAGTCAGTTGAACTCGTAAGGCAACGCGGTGTGCATTAAATCTGAATCAGAGGAAAAAGTAGATAGCCACGGGTTCATAGTAGAAACCCAGGCCAATGTTGTTCGGTAACATCCCTTTGGGCCGGTGAAGACTGTTAGTTGGGTGGTAGAGAGCACCCGTTGTTAATCAAAAAGACCTGAACCACCACCGATCTGACTCCAGTTGTAGTGCGATAAGACATTGTCCGATTTAATTAGCTTGTAAGAATCTAGAGGGTGTGGATGAAGTAGTTTGTTACGGTAAGGATCATGTGCCATATGCACTATATGTGAGCACAAACATTCACGCCCATCTGCAAACGCTTTCCCAGGGGTTGTGTGGAGTGCTCTTCTTCGAAGCATTGTCAAGTGATATTTTTGTATTTCTTCCTAGCGCGCATCCGTATGTGGCCTACAACTGTTCTTGTGTCGGGAAGTTGTTGCGGTCAGTTGTTGACTCGCTACCATCGTATTCGCTTATTAGGCCCATGCCTAGGATTCCTGGTCAGTAGTACCGTACAGTACCGTGTATAAGCCGAAGAATTTTGGACAATTTGCAATGCCTGTAGTGGAGGGAGGGCGGCTTATACAAAGGTTATACGCAATTTGAAAAAATCACATGCAAAATCCACCCAGAAATTCGCTGTACACCTATGTCACTATCTTGCCTTAGCAGCACTCCTTAGTGACAGACGGTATCCCAGGCGGGAATTTGAATTGCCTATAGGTAAACCTTATGTTTGTGTCGAAAATTCACGGTGCATTGCACATTTGACTTTCGCGTCGGATGGCAGTAACAGAAACATACTGATTATACAGAATCGAGCACCAGCACACACAATAACATTGGAAAAAGACATGACAGAACAGCACGAACCGGTAGATTTTATAGGCTCACATATCCAAACGCAGAAGAATGGTAGCAAATTATTCGAATCCTTCGAAACTAGAATCCGAGTCAAATCTCCAAACAGTTTCTGGTTCTGGTCCTCTGTCATTGGGACGTCAGGGTGAATATCGTCGTCTTCAACTTCACAAAGCTCGTCATTGTCGTATTCCTCAAAACTGGCATGTTCTTCACTTCCATCCATAGCATTACAGATGCAGCACTTTTTGTATGAACGAACGATAATTTCTGATGGAATATACAGCCACGCTTCTTTCATCTGCACTGCTATTGCAACAACATCAACCGTTTATACATTGCCACCCTTCGTCAACGCCGAAGCAGACGATGCCATCCATTCAATTCACCTGACTCGAAGCCTATCTTTAAAGGGCTTACTGAGACAGACATCCAGTGGCTGCAAGATTGATCTAAGTCCACCGGGAATTAAAGACACGGACAAGTTCAGTTCATGGCATTTTTCCTCCACGTCCTCAGTTCGGTGTGCCCTAAAGGAATCCCAAACCAGCATAGATGGTTTCTTTAAAAAGGCACCGCTTCGCTTTCCCCAAACTGTATTCAGCCAGTCAATAGTGCCACTCTCGTCCATCCATCCTTTCGAGTGAGCCCGCACAAACACGCCGCTTGGGAACTTCGCACCCGTACGTTTACAAGTAATGAAAGGTGATAGACAGGAACCATCCGCTATACACCCTAGAACAACTGTGAACCGTGTCTTCTCATGTTTCGTGTTCTTTACAAAACTGTGTAAGCACCTTTCTGCTCCACTGTGAGATTTGAAGGCATATCAAAGCAAACGGGCGTCTCGTCCATATTTCATAATTGGGACGGTTCAAAATCGTATTGCTTTCTCAGCTGAAGCACGAATCTTTGTGTTGCGGGCCCGTCAAAAATCCCCGCAAAAATGCGTCAGAAACCCCGGCAGAATGGCTGTGGGAAGCGGGGTCCAATTCCTCCTCACAACGTAGCAGTGATCAGCCACTCCGAGACGCGGCCCAACTACGCACCTTTTGACAATGGCCTTTTACAAACTACCACCTCGTCATGGTAGAAATTTTCCCTAACTTAATGACCCATAGCATTGGCTGTGATTCGCCCTCTGTTGGTCGTAAAAGAGCCTTCAGAGGACCGCCTGTCTTTCTTTCCTCTTCGCCTTACTTGGGAGTCGGTCGGGTCACGTGATTGCGTGTGAGTCGTTATCCGGCCAGCCTTCGCGTCTAAGTCACTAGCGCGCATCTACCGTACCCCCTCTCGTGTGCGTCCGTTCCGAGGGCCCAGCGTCTATCCGAACACGTGCGGCTAGGGTCGTTCACACGCTCGCTCAATTTTCCGTCTCACCGGCTAAGCTAACGTCATCAGGTCAGCGCAATTCCGTTCGACTGGCCAGCGTTACAGGCGATTATCGTAGGCGTGCTCCAACCGTGCCAGCGACCATCTTATCAGGCGTTACGCAATCATAACAGAGGCGGCGTTCCCTCAATTATAACACGTTGAAAAGACTCAACTTTACTGTCAAATCCCTTCGGCAGTTTCCGGGCTAGTTTTGTGCGGGTCCGTTGACACACGTCGAATTGGTTCATAAAACAATAGCACCATCCCGAGGAAGCAACAAGATTCACCGGCTTTGATGACTGGAATTCCGGACTTTTTAACATTGTGAGCGCCCTGATCCGAATGTTCGTTCGGGTAACAATTAATTCGTTGTGCCGTGACTCTATAACCCACTGCGCTAACTTTTCCTCCAGTCCAGGAAACATGGTTTTGCTAGCGCGTGCTGCTCTATTGCCTATAGACGTTAGCGACAATTCTAACTTTTCTTTCCGCCATTCTCTTACTTGCTTTTCATTCACCGTGAATTGGCGTGCAGCCATACAATTAGTAGATTGCTTGGCAAATGTGATAACTTTCAAAGTAAAGTCAGCAGCACATGCACATCGCTTCTGTCCAGACATATCTTCATGTTGCCACGGCTTTGAAAGATCGCACGAAAGGTGGGCACATTCCTTTTCAGCTGGATCGTCTGACGTTGCGTTAGCGCTATTTTGGTCAGCGAATCAAAGCGCTTAGACATTATGCTATGCTAGTCAATCTGGTGCATTAAAAATGCAAAGTCGTCACAAATCACTGCTCGTGAACTTCTCTCTCACTCGCTGCTTCCACTGTGATTCAGCACATGAGGCCTCCGACTATGCGGGGCGGTGTCTGACATACCCTTTCAGCTTACCCCATATTGTTAGCTGTCTTACCTGTTTCGTGTGATTTGACGTCGAATCAATACACCGTCCAGTGCGGTTAAAAGCGTTGTTCTGACGGCTCTAAGCCCCATGAACCGCGATCATAACATAGTAGGTTGCCAGAAGTGACCAATAGTAGAGCAGCTTTGGCGTGAGCACACTCAAGTGAGAGCAGGTGATGATGAAGTCGAAAACATGAGAAACAAGTTCGTTTCCCTTTTTGCTGATTTTGTTAAGGTCGGCTAATATACGGAGTTATGATTTTGGACAAAGTTGACGTTGCAAAGTCATACTGTCGGCTTATACACGGTAATATACGATACCTTCTCTTGGGTCTCGACAGTTTGATGAGCCTGCGCCCAAGGTCTGTGCAGCGGAACCGAGCTGTAATCGCTTGCGGTGTAGAGACGTGGGGCCGCCCCACTTAATTAGAAGGGTGTTATGCAACTATTTTAAGATGATCGTGCAAGCAACATGCTTGCGCACCCAGCTCGGAAATTTCACTAATGAGATCAAAAAAGAAGGAACGTTGGCTTTTCTAGACGTACTGAAGATGGGAAGATGGTTCTCTTGAGAAAATTGTCTTTTGAAAAGCGACGTGGGCTGGTCAATACACGCAATTCCTGAGTGTCGTGCCCTTAAAGTACGAACGGAGCTTAGTTTGCGGCTTTTATTACCGTGTCACCAAGATTTGCAGTCCGGAGACAGTTGAAGATGAGAAAGATCGGATTATCAAAACGCCACTTTCAAATGGGCATCTTGCTTCATTTATAAAAAGCACGCCGTAGTCCGTCAGCACCATAAACCTGTTTCCACTGTTCCGAAGAAGGAAGTGTTTCTCTCTGTCCCTTTTAAGGGAGACGTCGATTTTGACCTAATGAGTAAGAAACTTGGTGCCGCACCTGTAATGCTAAGTATCTTGGGCATCCGACCAGACGTATGTCGAGGAGGATAGCTGAGCATTGCCTAGGGTCATTGCGGCGAGGCATCGTCAAGAATATCAACCGTTTCATACTGGAACATGTAATTCTAAGTGGACAGGAGATCTTGATCAATGATGCCTTCAAAGTCTTTTACAGCGTGCCGAAACGATACCCAAAGGGGCTAATAAACCGACTCATAAGGACAACTGAAACGATCGCGATCAGACTGCTGCAACCAGAGCTTTGCAAGCAGAGGCTACTGGTGCAAACTCTAAGTCTACCGTGGGCCTGGAAAGAACTAATGCAGATGGAACACTGGTGACGACCGGATGTGGTTAACTTCTTCGGTTTACCCCCCCCCCCCATTGTTCTATAGATGAATAAGCTCTGTCTGGTCAGGTCAGGTTAGATCACCGCGCAACAAAGCTACAATTCATCGCCACCAGAATCAATGAATTTATATACCGATCGAATCTACTGAACCATTTCACACCGTTTTTACCCACTTTCACGGCGAATTCAACAGCGTGTTACTATTTCTGTCTACCTTGTAAATGTAATTGCCTGATGCGATTTAGCGAAAGGAATTCTCTTTGGAACTGTTTCTACTGAAATTTTCATAGGCATCATCCACGAACCTGCTTGCTGTTGGTTAACAATGAAAAATTGATTGGCACATAGCCAAAAGTTGGAGACCAAGTGAAAAGCAAAAGCATTCAATTCAGGGATATTAAGCTTACTTCAAAACCGGATAGTCCTGGTTCTGCTTGGTGACAGCGTATTGAAATGCCAGATGAATGAGGCGTTGTTGAGTCGCAGAGGAGGGTCCGTATATGCTTATTGGGGTGGACGCGCGACGGCGCGCCATTCGGCTTTTAGGCAAGCTTCGATATGAGTGAGAGAGATGGGGGGCGCGTAACCACATGGGAATAGATACAGTGCTTCCGGGAAGTAGCACTGGTACTGGCTCGTGAGACTGATAATAAGGTACCTCAATCCAAGGTTGCACAGCCAGAACAGAGCGCCAAATGGAATGACATTGAGTGTGCGAGTCCCGTGTCTAGTATGAGTTAGAAATAAGCATTGGCTTATTTATTTATGCAGTTCACCTAGGTTTGTCCACTGTGATCGGTGCACCAAGATGCAGTGAACCCAGTTGTATATTTGCAAAGGTTTACGAATAGACATGATGCCATCATAAACCATGGGATTCAAACAAAGGTACAGAAGTAGCAAAACACAACACAACAATGAACACAGTTGACTTAACAAGGAACGCTAAAGGAAATGAATCCGGAAAGGTATATTTCCCCTAGTATCGAGAAACCGTAACCACAAAGGAAAGGATCATATTTAAATACACAACATGCACATGCAAAAACTGTGGATGTTTTGATTGAAAGATCTCTCGAGGCCTTCACTGTCACTTGCGACTAGGTAATAATAATGATACTAATAATAATAGTTCAAAAGGAGCGAATAAAAGCTTAGAACTTCGGATGGAATGATCAGGAATCCGACTTGAGGGAACGAACCCAAGGGCAAACACCAGAGAACAGAGGCATCAAGGAAACAATGGTAAAAGCCCAAATTATGGGCAAACCCGCGGATGTCAAACAAACCTCGTAGATGACAGAATGATCGGGGTTTCGAGAGAAGCCATCGGAACCAAAGGTGATGGAACCGGGCCAATTGGAAGCTAACCGAATACGAGACAAAGGTTCCGATCCAAGGTTGCTCAAAGTTAGCTCCAACCGGAAGACTTGGCCCTGAAGTATCTTCGACGGCAAATCACTAAATGCTACCTGTGATGGGGAGAGAATAAGTGACGTAACAGGAAGTTTGTCATAGCACGTTTCTAGGATAAAAGGACGGCCATTAACTGTGTCAAGTTAGGTGATGAGACTGAAGCAAACCACAATCAAAGTGGTTAAATGGAAAAGTGTGAAACATGTCATTTCAAGACACAGCAAGCAAGATAGAAAAGTGTGTTGAAACACCCGTGCAAAAGACTACTCCTACTGGATGTACTCTACAGAGAGAATGATTGTAACGTGCCAACATCGTAGGATGCAAAAAAGCGAGTAGCGCAGCCGAGAACTCTGACCCTAATTCACCGCGAAACCAGAGGCATACAATACAGAGTCAACGTCTAGAGCAAAAGCAAAAGGCAAACGTGGTAGGTAGGAAACAAAATGGGAATAGAGAGCAAAAATCGCAATAACAATAGTATTCATTATTGTAACACTGTATTTGCAAGTGTGATTCTACATCTATTGGAAGACTGACTTTGATGGTCTTACTCGAGCAGCTAGTCAAGTTGACTAGTTGCTGCCACGGGATTCCCATTTTGAAGCCTGTTGGACTGTTTTAAGAGGCTGTGTGAAATCACTGTGCATTTGATTTGTACCGCTCAAATATCGGAAAGCTGGGCAGTGAAGCCACATTGGTTCGACAAAGAGTAAGGCCATTTGGCTCGACATCGACGTGTAATGTGGAATAACCACCCCTCTGGCTCTAATAACGAATACGAGGTGCACACATTGCCACCGCTGACGCCCTTTTTTCTTCTTCTCTGCACATGCTCGCCTCAATCCCATTTCGACCACCGCACTACTACCACAAAGGTCATCACACACACATATATATATATCATACATATAAGCATATATATATATAATTACAAGCTGTGATACAGATATTGTGCCATCAAAATCATGACGGAAAAATGAACATGCAACATATTTTCGCAAGCTTTTACCCACAGTTGTTGAGGTCTTTTAATTGCTTGTTTTATTGGGATAGGGAAATGGAAATCACCGCAACACGCAGAGATACACGTCCGCCGTTGATGTCGGTCTTGAGTCATGACTTCCAGGGTCTCTAACCAGCGACACATTGTAGCTCCGAAATCCCAGCCAAGGAGTCGAGAACAACCGAGCGCGGCTAACTGTTTCGTCAGCTTTTTCCTGTGGTTTCTCTATGTTGTAGCTTGTTCACAGCGCAGTCTCCTCCAGTCCTGTCCAGCAACTGCGAACAACGACCGACACGAAAGACGATGAGCGAACATGCGCAGTACGTGTCCAAGCGACCGCAACTAACGCAGCGGGACGAGCTCCTCGAGCAAGTGGCTGATTCCACCCAAGACACGCTGGCTAACCTCCACCTTGGTTACGTGGTGCAACCACGATACACGGGCAATGGACCGCAAGCAACGGTGCTCAAAGACAGAGAGACGGTGCAGGTCAATGGTACAAAAAGGCCAAGTTCCGCAAACATACAACAGTACAGCGCAGACAGTCGCACAAACGGACGTCATGGCGGCGCTACAAGTGCCTCATCTTAGAGAAATCGAGGCGAGCTCTTGAGATAAGCATCGAAACCTCGTCTCTAACAGATCCACTGACTGTGATGCAACTTCCCAGGTAGGCAACACTCTCCGTAAACACCAGTGTCTCACTACCAAGAGTGAGGGCAGGTATAGGCAACTGAAAGTTTTGGAAGAGAGCCTTGCACTTGGATAGGGAAAAAGCCACCCAGACTTTGGCGTTTCAATCGCTAAGCGGTTGGGTGCAAGTTGGACAGCCTGTAGACTGTCACCCAACAAGACGATAACAACAACTCGGCCACCTGGGAGGAGCACAAAACCAGTGCTCAACGAACATTCCAGAGCATTTTTGAGGACATCCTCAATGGTAAAATTGAAAAGTATTGGGAAAATAGGGCATCCTTGTCAAACTCCACTGGTGACAACAAAGGAAGACGAAAGCTTGCCATAAGCTCTAACTCTACCCGTGGTCAGACCGCACATGGCACGCAGTACTGAAACGAACTACCCGGCGATGCCATTCCTCAACAAACAGTGCCACAATGCAGACCTGTCGACAGAATCGAAGACAGCGCGGATACCCAGGAACACAACAATCGTTGGGTTTTGGTACACATGGCGGAGCTCGGTGATCTGGCGGAGTGTAATGCATCCGCGGCCAGGGCGGAATCCAGCCTGTTCTTCCCGCTGTAGCGATTCGCGCATCGAGATAACCTTCAAAGCACGATGGACACCAGAACCTTACAAACGATGGGAACCAAGCTGATACCTCTGTAGTTGGAGCACATTGTGCGCACGCCTTTTTGAAGATGGGGACGACAATAGACTCACTCCAAAATGATGGAATCTTGTCTTTTAGCCAGACTTCCGAGCACAAAGCAGTAAGTTCTCGAACCAGCGAATAGCCGCCATCTTCAAATAGGACGGGAGGTAAGTCATCAGGGCCTGGTGCTTTGTAGCGCTGCAAGAGGCGGAGTTTCGGCCAGAAGGTGGATTTGTGGGGTCAGACCACGCAACACCAGTGAGCGCGCCAAAGGAAGCAGATGGAGCTGGTGGCCAACAAAACTGCGAGCCAAAGTGCTCTACCCATCGTTTGAACCGTCGTTGAAGATTGATGGTTAGTGGGTCACCCTCTTCCCAGATCGTTTCGCCTACACTAGATCGAAAACTTTCGCTAGTTCGGATAAGATGGGAAAGTATTGCTGGTAGTAGCAGAAAGGCTAGCGAGTTCCATCTCTCTAGAACGTTTAAACCACTAGGTTTCACGGTCCTTTTGTAGACTCCAGCGTAATTGTCGATCAATGGATCGTCGTTCTTCACTGCAGCTAGAAAAGGTCGAGACCGAGCGGCGTCTGTCCATCAGCGACAAGGAGACAGCAGTGATCCCGAAAGCGAACTGACTACCGGTTGGTTCGGCGGAACTGTACGCCACTGGACGTGTTCCCAGGTTGCGGATTGAGGAACGCCTTCCTTGTGAAGGTAACTGTGAATAAGTCTCGGCTGTGCTCAGACGAGATGAATAAACAGTCGCGGACAATCAGCAGCAGCGTGCGAGAGAGTGGGGAGTTCTGGGCTAGTCACCTGGTTCTTCAATAGATACCACAAGAGCTCGTAAGACGCTGTGTCAAAGCCAACGTGACCGGCTATAGGGACACTGACTACTCACTTCTGCGACCAGAAATTAGTACCCAACGGAGGGCAGATGAACTACCTCGACAACCATCAGCTTCTATGAAGGCATATGAGCCATCTGGCTGTCAACGGCCTTCATGCTGCTGCTTCACTCGAGTTTTTGGGCAGCCTGAGCAGCTTGTTCCTAATCGGAAGTCGTGTTATTATCATCATGGTAGCCGATTTCAAACGATATGCTATCTACGTCAATCGCACCGCTGCCTTGCGGGTCAGATATTTAGACCGAAGAATCCAGGTGATGTCGCCTAAGCCAACCCACTTCATCGACCTGGGCAACCGGGAAGTACCATTTCCACACAACCTATGGACCAATGTTTCAACGACTTCCTGCTCTCTCTCTGCTCTTCACCAACGCTTTCCCCGGCAGAGGTGCTGGCGGCTGAACATGCTATATCGCACCACAGTTTGGTTACCTTATTCCACGTTTGTTCAATTCCCCATCCTTGGTAATCCCCCTCGGTTTCCGAATCCACAACATCGAGCCGCATTGGGCGAGTGCTCTCGTCATACGGATCAGGAATTTAGGTCCCAGGGTGTGCTGCCAAGTAGTACTGGCAAACCTTTCCTAGCGGCCCATGCCCAATTCAAGCTGGCAACTTTAAACATCCGGACAAGGATGCACATCGGATCACAAGCAGCCCTCGCTTGCACGCTTGAGACTACTGCCATTGATGTCTGCTGCCTCACTGAAACCCGATTACAGGACGCTAACACGATGCCATGACTGGTTTCGCCGTCTGCGAGTCCCACTGGCATTCTCACGTTGCGCTTATCTGGAGCCGAAACCGTCGAAGCCACTGGTCTTGCCGGCGTGGGGATTGCGTAAAGCACATGTGCTGAGGCCGCGCTACTTGACTGGATCCCTGGCAAAAGTCGACTATGCGCTATCCAACTTGAGATCTCAGTGAGAAATTCCAGCCGTGCAGCCAACAGACGTTGCTTGTTCGTTGTAGCGGCTTATGCTCCCACAAACTCCAGCCCGGAGTTAGTTAAAAACGAGTTCTACTGTCAACCGTCCGACCCTCTCCGAAAAACGCCGTACAGACATCGTGGTGCATGCGAGTGTGAACTCGGTGGTCAATGTGGTCATGACACTGGCAGAACAGATAACAGTGATCACCTACTTCAACTTTGTGCCGATCACGGGTTCTTCCTGTCGAGTGTTAGCTTTCGGCGATCCTGGTGCCAACGCGCGAGCTGGAGGCCTCCGTCACCTGCCCACCCATGGACGCAGATTGATCACATCGCCATTAGTTATCGCTGGCGGGGCAGCATACAGGGTTGTAAATCAAAATGGAGAACGTAACTCACTTCGGACCACGCGCTCGTGTGTGCCAAGACTGCTTTACGTTTCGGTGGCTCTAGACGGCGGCGCAGGAAACGATATGACGTAGCCGAACTGTCTGCTCCAAGCGTTCTCAGCGCGTTTCAGGATACGCTGGCCTCAAATCTCAGGAGCGTCACATGCTCTGACGTTAAAACGCACTGGGCGCACATCCGCAGTGCTATGCACAACTCTGCGACCTCGGTCTGTGGTTTCGCCAGTAGTCCTGTCAACCACTGGATTTCTGCACGCTCCCTCCAACTTCTCGAAGCTCGTCAGGTAATTCCACCTGGTATTGAGTATCATTCACTACGCAGGACCACTAACACTGAACTCAAAAAGATCCTCAGAGAGGACCGCGAGGCCTGGTGTACGCAACGGGTCGTTAATTTGAAGCAGGCAGTCAGCTCAGGGAATTTCCGAAACTTTTTCTACCTAATCCGATCCAATGACGGCAAAAG